ATTTATTAAATTATGATAAATTTAAGTTTTTTTTATTAGATAAATGAAACAAAGATAGAGGAAAATGACAATATGACAAAATAAAATTGTCTCATTTTATTTTTGTCTCATTCTGTCTCGTTTCATTTAATGTAAACTTAAATTACTAATATATAAGCTTCAATTAGCACATTTTATATCAATTTTTCTATTTGTTTTAATCTTTAGAATCAATTTTTCAAAAATTGATTCTTTATTCTTATAAATATATTAATATTTTGTATATATAAATATGTTTAAATATATTGTTCATAATAATTATTTTTATTAATATTATTTTACCTAAATGTATAGTTTTTTCTTCTCCATTACCATTAACTTCATATGCTTTAAATTTGGAATGAATAACTTCTTTCCTTGGTGTTAAAATTAATCGAAAATACCTATTAATAAAGAGTAGTTTTTTTATAATTTTTTATGAATACATATATATAATTAAATATATTACCGTCCATGAGAATAAAATTTTAATTCACTTATTTTATTATAAGGATGATAACTATGTTGAATACCCCGTTTTATAATATTATGTTGAAAATTAGATATATGAAGAGTTTCATAATATTTTAAATTTCTATAAAGACTATCTGAAAAAGCATATTTGTAAATTTAAAAGTTATAATTAATTGTACATATAATATATACTTCAAAAATTAATAAATAATAAATTTAAATATATATTACATTTAACATAATATATTTATATTATATATTTAATTTAACATATTATAAACTTACAAGTGTTTTGTATAATAAATAACATATAATATATTGGAAATATATTTTGAAATATCATATTTATTAGAATATTTCTTATTATATATACATATTAAATTTTGTTATATTTTAAGAACATTCATTTACACATTACAGTACTTTATTTATTAACTTTATATGTATTTTTATAACTAATATTTAATATAAATAATTTTTCTTCTAATATAAAGTACATGAAAATGTACTTGATTTTAAAATATATTCAGTGGTGATCAACTGTAATATTTGAAATATTATTTAATTTATTTTAAATATGTAATATTTTTTATTATTTCTTTTATATTTGATAATAATAAATAATAACCACAATATAATTGTATACACAAAAAAAAATATTTTTAAAAGATTGTTTTTTTTAAATTTTTTAAATAATTCTTATAAATTTTAATATAACTCTTGTCTTATTATTATATTGTTCATGATAATATGTTCATTGCAATCGATTCAAACTTTTATTAAATGCTTTATTTAGAGGTTGAGATTCTCTAGAACATGCTAGAAGTTTTTCGGAACTGTAAAAACAGAAAGGTTATAATCAGTACTATGTATTAATCATTTGCTAACGTTGTAACTTGTATGGTTGACGTACTTATAATCCTAATACGTGTATAAATTAAAATAAAAGAAAGTTAAAAATGTCGCAAGAAGCAACTTTATTACATTGTTATAATCGTGGTTGTGGAAAAAAGTTTGATCCGAATGACAATAAAGAAGGTACGATAAATATTTAGAGAATAAATTATATTAGAAAAGTTTAGAAATTTGATAATTTGAAAAATTATTTATTTATTTTTTCAATATATAGTTAAAAATCATGTAAGAAGATTTTAATTATAACAATTATTATTATTACTTCTCTAGGAGACTGTATTTATCATCCTGGACATCCAGTATTTCATGATGCTTATAAAGGCTGGTCTTGTTGTAATAAGAAATGTACAGATTTCACAGAGTTTTTAAATATTAAAGGCTGTGCAAAATCATGTCATTCAAATATTAAACCAATAGAGCCAGAAAAGCCTACTATTGATAAATCAAAATCAAATGAAATAATTGAAGTAATTGCTCAACCTCTTATCAATGAACCTATTTTAGAAAGGCCTCCTTTTGATACTCCACAAATGACATTAACTCCCAATGTGTCACCTAATTTATTAGAACAAATTAAAGGATTAATTTCTAATGTATCAAAAAATACATTTGATACTAAAGTTCAAATTGGACAAAGTTGTAAAAATAATTCATGTAAAGCTACATATAATGGCCCTGCATCTGAAGATGAAATATGTAATCATCATCCTGGAACTCCTATTTTTCATGAAGGAATGAAATATTGGTCTTGTTGCCAAAAAAAAACTACAGATTTTTCTACATTTTTAGAACAACCAGGATGTACACAAGGAAAACATATTTGGATCTCTAAAGTAAGCTTTAAATGTTTATTTGAATATTTTTTATTTATATTTTATGTAATAATATAAGTTTTATATAAGTATAATATTTTTAAATATTTTAATAAATTTTTTATAAAGAAAACTTATTATTTTTTAGAATACTGATAAAAAAGTTAAATGCAGAATGGATTGGCATCAAACAGGATCATTTGTTGTAGTTTCAATTTATGCTAAAAAATATCAACCAGATCAATCACTTGTTAAATTAAATCCTATAAGATTATCTGTAGATTTATTCTTTATAGAAGAAAATTCTAGATATAATCTTGATATAGAATTGAGAGGAGTATGTATATATATCTTTATATAATTTGAAGTAATTCTTAAACATTAAAATTTTTATTATTAATTTGTATAAATTATAGATTGTTGATGTGACACAAAGTAGTGTTAATATGCTTCCTACTAAAGTTGAGATCAAATTAAAAAAAGCAGAATCTGGATCATGGGCAAAATTAGATTTTCCTAGAAAAAATGAAGAAGAAACAGAAGAAAATAATCAAAATAATGAAAATATTAATAATATGGAAATTGATGCTGTAGATCTTAGTGATCTTTAAATATTCACATCTAAATAATTAATTAAGGATATTATTGTAAATTATGTACCTATATTATTTTTAAGGATATTATTTTTATTTAATGATGCAAAGAAATGTTATTTTCTTAATGTTGATGGAATTATTTCGAAGAAAATGAATACTTTAGTATTTTAATTTTTGTTAATTTTCATAGTAAATGAAATATGTAAAAAAATCTATTATCAAAATTTTATATTTAAAAAAAATATTACATCTTTACATTTCATGTTTTATTTATGGTTTTTCCAATATCAATAAATCATTTTTAATTTATGTTGTGTTTTAATACAAATTAATACAATTTTAAAGTTAGATTCTAAACATGACTTATAAATTATAATTATAAATTATAATTTATAAATTAAATTTTCATAAAATTAATATCATTTCTTTAATTTACTTTCGATTTTGACATATTTTATTAAAACATCAATGGAATTTAATATATTCAATGGCGGATATTGATTGATAAATACAAAATAAATATTTGGTAAATATATTAAAATCCAAAATAGTTATAACTAGTAATAATATTTATATTAAATGTTATATGTGAAAGAAAAACCAGATATTTAGAAAATTTTTTCATCTTTCATATTTTTTAGAGAAGTTCATGATGCAATCATGAATTTCTCAACTGTCAAAATATAATTCCATAGCGTTGATAACATTACCCAGTTTAACCTATCTTTTTAACGTTTAAATTGTGTAATCTTGATTTACGTTTGCTATTTTTATTATTCTATAAATAATATATAAATAATATATAAATAATATATAAAACTATATAATCTATACCTTTTATTAAATAAAATTAAATTGTTTCGATTATAATATAAAAAAAAGTTATTTTTTGCAATGTTTCTAATTTAATAAAAGATGAAAGCTAAATGATAAATATATATTTAATAACAATTATTTTGAGTGATTTATTAACGTTATGAGTAATTTAACAAATAAATTGCGGGTAAGAAATAATCATTATATAAGTATAAATAAAAATATTTTTTAAAATATTCATATTATATTAGATACTTGCAATTCATGGATATGCTCAATCAGATGATATTTTTAAAACAAAATTAGGCTCTTTACGAAAAGGATTTAAAAGAGAAATTGATTTCGTATTTTTAAAAGCACCACATAAAGTTCCAATGAAAAGTAATTTTGATATTGATGATGTTGAAGAAGGTATTTTATAAATTTTATATTTGATTAAATAAATAAATAAAATTTATATATATATATATATTATATTATATAATTAATTAATAATATTTTTAATTTATAAATAATTTAATATTAAAATAATAAAATGAAAATAAATATTATAACTATTAGCATATGGATGGTGGTTCAATACAAAAGATCATATATTTAAAGCAATTGTGCCAAGTAACTCAGTTATAGGTTTTGAAGATAGTATAACTGTAATTGAAAAGGCATTTCAAGAATCTGGACCTTTTGATGGCATTTTAGGATTTTCACAAGGTGCAGCATTTGTTATTATACTTTGTTTTATGCAACAAAAAAATTGTAAGTTTATATAAAAAGAAATTATTAAAAAAATATTATAAAATAAGATTTATAATATTAAAAATAACATTTTTATTAGTGTTACAAATCAAATTTGATTTTGCAATTATTATATCGGGATTTAAGTCATTATGTGCACCTCATGCAATATATTATGATGGAAAAATAAACATACCTTCTTTACACATATATGGAAAAACTGATAAAGTTATACCAACAGGTAAGATTTTTGATTTTTAAATTAATAATATAAATAATTATTGCATTCTTTAATAGAAATGGCAGAAGAAATTACTGAAATGTTTATAAATAAAATAAAAATGACACATGAAGGAGGCCATTATATACCAAGTAAGAAAGAATATTATAAAGAATTTATTATGAAAATGTTTTTAAATAAAAACAAAAATAATTAGAAATGTTTAATTATTATATATCTTATGATATATAAAAAATATTATTTATATTAAAATATAAACAATATAAATCTATATAAATTGTAAAATATAAGTACAAGTAAAATATTAGAGCAATATTAGTAAATTTATTTAAATCAATTGTAAGTAAACATTGTATAATATTTACTAGAAATGAAATTTGTTAACATTTTATATTTAGAGTTTTATATATAGTAGCCAAGATAAGAGAACATAAATATAATAATAAATTGAAATGATTTTATTCAAAATAATCTAATATTTGCTTACTATTTCATATTAATTGTATTATATGATTAAAAATTGCTTAATTGTTTTATAAAAGGCACTACTAATTTTAAATTCAGTATTTGAAAACTTAAATTACATATTAAAAATGTATTGAATAGTGCCTTATTTATTAATTTATTTATTTTGAGAGAGTATATTAATTGCTTAACTTAATAATATTCATACTTTCGTACAAACTTTATGATATATTTAAGATGAAATATATTTTTTATGCGTAGTAAGTTAAATGCTTATATAGATATCAATTATCTTGGTTTATATGTTGTAATTATCCATTATTTTTAATTTAAAGATATGTAAATTTATATAAATTACTATTGCAATAGTGTATATTTATAAATGTTATTAGCATTTTGAATTATTAGCATCCAAATTTTTTTAATAATGTCTACATTACATATTAAATATTGTTTAATAATTTTAAGATTATATTTTAATGCATATAACTCAATAATTAAATTAATTTATTACAGTACAGTAATATTTTAATTTTTAATTTAATTTTTTATTAGTTTAGAGCAAACAATTCAATGCATTATATTTTTAATGCTATTTAATGTATTACATTTTTATTTTTGAATAATGATACTGCAACATATTTGAGAGTATTTTATATATTAAATATATGAATACGTTTAATGTATTCATAATACTGCATAGAAGTATATCATTTTTCAATCCATAATTCTATGTAATAAATATACATGCAATTCATCAAATAAATAAAATAACGAACACGCAAATAAAGTTAACAAAATTTTATGGTATAGCAAAATATAATTGATAGAAATATTGCATTTTATACCAAAATGATTATTTACTTGATTTAATGTATCAAATGTAATCAATTTGTTAAAATTACGTACACTATTTATAATGTATCACATTTTCAAATTTCTATTTTGTAATTGTAAAACTTAATTTTCAAAGTTTTTACAATTAATATTTTTTAATTTTGCATTTTAAGTAATAAATTGATGTTGCTATATATATTTTACAAAATTTGAGGCGTTTGATATTTAAAGCTTAATAAAAAAAATTTATGGAAATTTATAAACTAAAAAAATGAATTGGATATGAATTAAATTATAGGGAAAATTACAAAACATTGTAAGATAAAATACAAACTACAATCATAATTTACATGTGACTGAGGTATTTGATCTATCTTGGCAATAATAACAAAGTGTTGATATATTTTTATATCTATAAAAGATTACAATAAACTTGGATGATGTACTGTATTATAAATTTTATATTTTATTATTTTTTTCAGTCAAATGGTCAAGTACAAATAATACTTGATCATTATTCACAAAAAACAACAAAAATAAAAAAAATTAATTAACCAAAAAGTTAACAGTAGTCTTACCTACAGAAGTTAAAAAGCCTCAAGACACTTTTAATATTCGTATAAACTTGTATGTACCTAATATTCACATCATGTTTGCTTAAGCTGTTAGCCTTTTTGGAAATATTTGACAATTATAAAATTGTATTGAATTCAACACTTTATCATCAGTTGTTTCACAATGTTTCAAGGTGATTGTTCTTGTCCATTAGTTTCTTGAGATTTCATAACATCTGGTAAATCAGGTGGTAATGAAAATGGTGTCATCTCTAAAGGTTCGAATTGACCATTATCTTGACGTATAGCTAATCCTACTAATGCAGGACATTGTGGTTTTGCAGTTGCTGATGTTAATCCATAATCAGATAAAAATTTACTATCTGACATAAGAACATTATCCTTGTTGAACAGCTGTTGATTCACAGGTGATATTTTCAATATACCTATAAAAAAATTACATTATACATAATTCTAAATTACTTTAAATTAAAAATCTATAAATATTTATATCTATTAAGTATTCATAAATTTTATGAAAATTTAAATAAAAAGAAAAGGAAAAGTAAAATTGAAATTTCTTTTGTAAAATATTATATTATAAGATTTCTTTAATACAATACATGTAAATTATATATTCCTTACCTTCTATAATTTTTTTAAGTTCAAGAACTGTAGTATTATCCTTAGCGTCAGTAAATATTGTCATATTTTTTCGTCGAATCATTAGAAATACATCCTAAGAAGAAAATCTCAATTATGTTTGAGGTTATCTTATATTAAGATAAATCATATAAACACTATAAGAAATAATTGAATATTGACAAGAACTTACCATTATGAATTTACCTATATACTTAAACTGACAAGAACAATTAATATATAGATCTTGTGCAATGCTCCTTTGTTGATTATTGTTTACTTGTAGTTCGTCAGGTTAAAGGCAAAAAGTTAAAATAAGGTAGACACTCACGGACAATATAATCATATAAAACACTTCATTTCATTGGTTCTTCTTTCTAAACACAAATTCTGTTTGGAGCATTGTTTGTTTCTTTAACCAATCACAAATTGGTTTTATATTTAACATTTAACTATGAATCCTTAAATCAGAGATAATATTTTTAAATACCTCTTATATACATATGTGTGTTGATACATCAAATTAATAAACAAAATACAAAAATAGTAAAATCATTATATTATATATATTTAAAATGCTAAATTAAATTTATCTTGAATGTTATATTTTAATACTATAAATTATAAAACATACATAAAGATTTATAACATAATATTTTAATTTATATTATACATTAAAATTTAAAAATGTAGTTTATTAATATGGAATTATAATTTCAGTATGTATCAATAGATATATTGATTTTATTATTAAAAATTTATATAATATAATATGCCATGATAACTTCTTATAATTTATCGAATTTTATGAATGGAATTTATATTATTATATAATATTCATAAAGTTAATTATTAAAATAATATACAGGATTAATACAATTATGGAATATTTTTGGAGGATCAATTCTCAAACATCAAACAAAATTTAATATACAAAAATATCAATTGAGTTTTATTTATTAAATTATAAGCAACTTAAATTTATATTAGATGAAATAAGATAGAAATAGCGATGTAACGGAGATAGAATAGATTCATTCTATTTTCATCTCACTTATAACATAAACTTAAATTGCTTATAACTTAATAATAAAATAATAAATTCAACTAACATTTTTGTATTTGTTTGGTATTCTAGAATCAATCCTCCAAAAATGTCCCATAAATATATAATAATATTCTGTATATAATAATAATAAGTAGCATTTTTAAATAAATATAAAAAAAATGTTTTAAAAAAATAAATAAATAAAATTTATTCTAAGATATCATATGAAATAGAATCATAATTTATATTCTGTATGGAAGTACTTTTTAGGAATTAAATTGGTTACGTATGCCTAATTTCCAAGAGAAGGTCCTTGGCCTTATAGATACGAAGGCGTCGAATATTCGTGAATGAATCTTCTTTCTGCAGTGACGTCACTGGTTGCCATTAGTCCATCGAGTTGCTTATAAGAAAAGCGCGATCTATGAAAGAGCGCTTGCGCTTTTCAAAATGACTTGCTGCGCGGCGCTCTTGGGCTTTCCAATGGAGACTTGATGAAAGCTCCTTTCGTTCACAACTAGAATCTCATTGCGACTAGACGAAATGCGACCATATCCATCTGCGGAGTATTTTTTCAAGAAAGTTAAACGGCTACGAAATTGCAAAAACATTTAATAAGCAATCGGAAGGTAAAAACGAAGAAACTTCATCGTCGTATGTCCTGGTGCGTGATATATATATTGTGAAATTTCGAATAACGTGCAACGATTTTTGAAAAAATAGAGAAAATTTTTGGAAGTCTACACTATATTTTTCCTGTTAGTTAATCATCTACATATATGAGCATTTTGTTTTTGATTGATCGATAACCGTGAATTAGGTCGTTCACAAGTCGCGCCCTGAATAGTGGAACATTCGCACAAAATTCGTGAAGGTGGAAAAGATTCTAAATTGGTGTTCGAACGAGCATCAGACAACAATATTATATGTCTTGAGCAACGTCGACATATATGATGAAATTGCAGTTGCTCGTAATCGAAACGGATTACTGCTGGAGGAAAGCGTTGCTTAGGTAAGCAAGTAAACGAGGATTCCAAGCAAGCTGCTTATGCTTTTAATACTTGTCACTAATGTTAAGCTTGTTTAGCAATATAACATTTAAATTTCTATTTGCGGTATTAGATCGTATAATATTGTATTGTGTCATGATAAAAAATATTCAAAGATTTAAAACATTAAATTATTAATAAAAAATATAATCAAATTAATATTATATAATAATTTTAATATTAATATTTTTTAAAAAAACAGACATTCAATAACAGAAATAAATATTGAATATAAATATAAAAATTAAATATAAAATTATTAAATTATAATTATAAATATTTTTAATTTAATATAATAATTTTCAAATAATTTTATATTTCTTTTTTAAAAATGTAAAATTTTATTTTATATTTTATATTTTTATACATTTATAAAAATAACTATCATATTAATTTCTGAATACAATTATTATAACTTTTAAATAACTTTCTATATTATAATTAGTTTTAATTCAAAGAGTCAAAATTAAAAGATTTTAATAAGAAATTTTTAAAACATTTAAATATACCGCCAATATATATGTCGATAAAGTCAATGATTAACAGCTGTCGGTAGTAAACTTCAATCAATTACGACAATCGCCGCTATGTGCGCGTTGCTCTAAGGAATGTAATGGCTTGTACTAGGAAGAAAATACAATGATGATTCAGAACACGCTTTGGCTCTCTCAACTGGTCTTTCTCGTTTTACACTTTCACGGCCCTTTGACTGACGCCATCTTCAATCTTTTTTTTGTTTAAGTGTCAATTTTATGGAATTGTATGTTATATAGTGGATATCATAAAAACGTTATGAGTGTGATCAGTGAGTGTAATGAACGAACATCGAACGGCCGATCATCTAAATTGAAATGATAGAATGATCGCGATATGAGTTTGCGTCGTAGATCTAGTCTTCAACCATCCCTGAAAGGTTGTGAACCAGAAAGAAGTCATTAGCAGTCCAAGTGTCCATGTAAAAGTCATTCACTTGAATTCTTCCCCTTTGAAGTATTGTTGGTTAGTTTATGTGTTGTTTGATACATGTGTTTTCTTTTTTATTTTTCTGTTGCACTTTTGCGGAACACATTGTTAAAACGAAGAAAGTCGAGTCTCCGTTTATTGGTTATGTTTCTTGTAATCGCCGTAAATCGCACGCTTCTGTAGCACGTTCCGAGTAGTGAAAAATTGAAAATATAAAGTAGTGTGTGTACGTAGAAATAAAATGCACAAGTTAAGATTACCTGTCAAGGTTGAATTGCTGCCCAGTGCTTTAACAAGGTATGGAGATATTTGATCTACAGGTATCGATACAAACTCTTTTTTTTGATTTTATGCATTGTCTTATAATCTTATGTAATGTATGTCGTAAAATTATGTTTTCAGATGTAAACAATTATTTTACGGTAATAGATTTTATTTTAATTAATTATCTTTCTTTTATATTATAATATATGACACAATTTTGTTCCAAATAAATTTAGTCAAATTTTATTTATGTATATTTTTATAGAACATAAAAATAATCTAAGTAATTGTATGCTTTAAATATAGCAGTATAATTACATGAAATTGTTACATTTTGAGATTAACTTTTCGAAAAATATTAGTATCGATACATTGTTGCTCAAATTTATTATTTTTTAAATGTATTAAAATATAATAATAAATATAAAATAACTTTTATTTTGTTTACATTTGTTAGAAATATGCAAGTTATAAAAATTTAGATTTGTATTATGCATGTTTCTAATTGTATTGACAAGCATGGCAGTGTTATACATTTATATATATATGATATTATGTATATATAATAATATAATATTACAAAATTTGAGAATTTAATATATTTTATTCTGTCATCAGATAAGAAAATTGAAAAATTAGTTATTATTTTCAACAATATAATTTATGTTTAACAATTTTAATATTTTGTTATCATTTTATGATGTCGTCTTCATATGAAATGTTTCTTATAAAATATGATTTATTATTTTATTGATTTGATTGATTATTAAAGCAAATATAAGATAAAATTATTATTATTAAATAACAAAAATAATCATAAAAATAATACTACATAAGAGCATTTTTTTTTAAATTTATATATACTGATTTTAATAAACGTGAAAAAAAATGCTCAAAAGATGTATACTAAATTGTTTTAAAGTATTAAAAAATTTAGTTCGAATGTATATTTTTTCATAATAATAATTCGAATTCGAAATTATTCGAATTGTTTTAAGAAGAGCATATTCATTAAAGAAGAAATTAATGTGTCAAGTTTATATGCAAGTGAGATTGGATTTGAGTTTAAATTTTGGCTAAGTTAGGTTAAGTTTGGATTAAGTTTAGATTATTAGGTTAAGTTTTCATTAGATTACAATTAGAGTTGAAAAGTTTTTCAAATACAAAACTGAATTTTATACGTACTATTAAAGTACTATTAAAAAAAATAGTATTGAAAAAAATTAAAAACAATGTATAATTTTTTTCTAATTTTTTTATATATATATTATCAAAAAGAATCATATGCAATCAAATAATGCTGATTTTTTTTTATTTGAGATTATATTATCGTATATTATTCTAATTAAACATAAACTGTATTATCGTTATCGAATTAAAATATTTCATGAAAATTATTTATATCATTAATTCAAAAAATTTAATAAAAATATATGATAAAAATTTGATTTATAATGACAGAATAAAATTGTATATATATTGTATATATGTATTTATATATATTATACATATAAATTTATTTCAAATATAAAATCTTTATATTTGAAGTAAATTTCAAACCATGATATATAACACATATGAAGATACGTTAATTCATCACAATATAGTAGAAGTGAATGTCTATTCTTCTACTAATTGAACTGCAATTGTTAAGACGTTCACGCCGCTATTCTTATGGAAAGCAGCTGACCTTGACAATCATAAAACCTAATACAAGTTGCAGAGCCCTACCCATCTGTTTCTAACTCTAACTCTCGTATCATTTAGTTTCTCGTTTCTTATGATACATTTCTAGTAGTTTCTCTATGGACTTCGTTCGTAAGACATCAAGTACGGTGTTTTTAATATTTTAAAAGATAATTTTAATGTGATTCATAATTATATATTTTTATTATTATGTATTTCATGTAAGTCAAATTTTTGTGAAGTGACAAATTATTTAAGTATTTAATTTTCGACATTATTTTCAATTATATAATATATTATAAAATATATTATAAAATAATATAATTATTAAATAACATAAGAGTAATATATAATAAGAGTATATAATTCATAATAAGATGATTAAAAAAATTTTTTTCTTATTTTTTATTTGTATAGTTTTTTATAAAATTATTTGAATTTTAACGAGAGAGAGAAAATACCTGAAATATTCAGATAGACTAAAGGATTAATGAAAACAAAAAAAAACTTTTTAAAGAATATAATAAGAATAATTTATAATAAGAATTTTCATTGAAATTGACGTGGTGTGTTCTTCGAAGCAAGTGATCGATCGTTTGTAGTCGTTTATCGAAAGGCGATGAAGTAAATGCGAGTTCTCCCTGAACCACCTGTGTATATTTTCGAATGCGCGCGCGCGTATTCGCAGTTTCTCGGGTACACGTGCACTTAACGACTTGATCTAGAGAACAGTACGAACAGTTCGACTCTCGACTGCTCACCTATGTAACGTTTCTCCTAGTGTATTTTTGGCATCGCACTTCTCACGAGACTACACAGTCACAATTCTAACTTTCATTTAATTTAAATGATGAATATTTTGACACAATATGATTTTTGATTTATATTAATTTAAACTTTGATTTTAAAATTTGAATCGAGTTACAGTTATATTTCTAACGATATAATTAATATAACGGTTGATATATTTCTTTGAAAATGTATTATTTAATGTACTGTCGGTAATGTGAATGTGCAGAAACCTTCGAACCTGGCCGAGTAATGCAACCGCGGTTACATGATTCGGGTAGTTTTCGGTGTCGCACCTTTCACGAGACCTTGGTATAGTCGATTCAGACTTCTTTATTCAAAACTCTGTTGCTGGACATTCGTCATTAAAATTATGACAGTCTCGAGTTGATTTTGTTCTTGTGTTGGTGATAATTCAAAACGTGTTAATGTGTGAATTTACGTGATGAAATAACATTAGTTCCATCAGGAAGTTTTTATTTATCAAGTATGTAAAATATTATCAATATCATGTATTAAATGTTGATTTCTAATTGCAAAGAAATAATATAAAATTTTAATAATTTTTATTTTCTACATTTTCTTTTTTCCATTAATATATTAATTTAATGTTAATATTTTTTCAATATTTACGTGAAAATGAAACTTTTAATTATATTTGAAACATTCTATTTGACTTTCAAATATTTTAATTTAAAACTTACTTAAGAAATTAATTGTGTCCATATTAATAAATATGGAACGATTACACATATTTTCTTTCTGGTTGCGTTGATTTTTATTAGTTATATATCATAATGTAGTGTTTTATATTTTTTCTCTTGCTGATTTTGTGTTTATTTCCTTGGTTTCTGTTTTGTCTTTCTCTTTTTTCTTTACCTACTTATCAAGGTTCGTAGTATTTACACGTGAACATGAAACCTGTGCAAAGTGTTATTTTGTTGGATGCGTAAGTAAATAGGTTAGCTATTGGCTAGATTTTATTTAGTTTTTTTCTCCAATAATATTAGTGTACTTATATATTTATAATGATTCTAAATACATATTATATTTATCATATAATTATTTTTCAATAATATTTCATAAATTTTTATTTTTTATAAACACTTTTATGTGCAAGTAAAGAATCTTTATTTATTGATGTTTGACATGAAAAAATAATTATTTTTTGTTTATTATTAGATTTGCATTTATT